CAGCTGCTTCTGCTTGCCGAGCAGGTGCAGCAGCGGCACGCCGGGCGACAGGTGGCGGAAGCTCTCGTAGACGAAGCGCACCTGCTTGCCCGAGGAGAAGAAGACGATCATCTTGCTCTTGAGGTTGGCCTTGATGAAGCCGTAGAGCGTGTCGAGCTTCTCGGGCAGCGGCGTCACGAGGTAGTGCTGCTGCAGGTTGGCCGGCGTCGCCTCCTCGTGGACGGCGACGTAGGCGGGGTCGCGCAGGCTGAGGCGCGCGAGGTCGGAAATCTTCTTGCTCTGCGTCGCGCTGAAGAGGAGCGTCTGGCGCGTGGCCGGCAGATGCTCGACGAGGGCGTCGACGGCCTGTTGGAAGCCCATGTCCATGATGCGGTCGGCCTCGTCGAGCACGAGCATCTGCAGGTTGTCGACGTCGAAGCCGGCCGTCTGGTCGAGGTGCTGCAGCATGCGGCCCGGCGTGCACACGAGGATGTTCATCTTGGCCAGCCGCTCGGCCTCCTCCTTGAGGCTCTTGCCGCCGATGACGAGGCCCGCCGAGAAGGCGTGGTAGCGGCCGATCTTGCGCAGCACCTCGAAGATCTGGGCCGCGAGCTCGCGCGTCGGCGAGATGATGAGGGCGCCGAGGCCGTCAAACTCGGTCCACTGCGCGCGGTACAGCTTCTCGAGCACCGGCAGGAGGAAAGCCAGCGTCTTGCCGCTGCCCGTCTTGGCGGCGCCGAGAATGTCCTGGCCCTGGAGCGCCAGCGGCACGGCGCGCGACTGGATGTCGGTGAGCGTCGTAAAGTGGGATTTCTCGAGGCCCTGCTTCGTCGGTCCGCACAGGGGCAGTTCGGCAAAGGTCGTCACCTCGGTGGCCTTGGGGTCCTGGACGATGCCATGTCAGTCGGAGGCTGTGACTCTGGGAGCAAGCGCACGAGAGAGAAAAAACAAAAAGGGCGGCTGGCTCGACTCACAAACTCGGCAATCGACTTTTCGAGGGCAGCAATGCTGAGCTGCTGCCGCTTGCGCTTCTCCTGGACGATCTCGCGCTTCAAGGGCTGCGGCTTCTTGCCCTTGACTTTCTTGGGAGGCGCCATGGTTGGTGTCTTCTTCTGCTGCTGCTGTTGCTGCTGCTGCTGCTGCTGCTGCTGCTGTTATTGAAAGGGCAGGTGGCTGGGGTCGGCAGAGGCGAGACGTGCTTCAGCTCTGGCCCAAGGCTTGAAGCAAGCAATGGACTGGCGATAGCGATTGACGATTGACGATTGCAACTGACGACTGAGTGCAGCGACGATAATTTTTCGACTTTTAGGTGGGGCAACGGCATTCGGCGCCAACCACCGCCGCGGTTGCCGGCTGGCAAATTTCTGACAGCTGGCAGCTGTTGTATCCTCTTCTGTACTTGTACACTACAACACACGCTCTCCCAACAACTCAACTCTCGCGATCAGGTGAACTCAACCATCGACTTTCTATCAAAACCATCCCTCGTCCATCTTCTCCTTCCTCGTCCAATATGAACCAGGACCTCATCCCGCTTTCTTTCTCTCCTCCACGCACCACAATCAACCGAAACCCCTAGTCATACAGAAACCTCCCTACAGCCTCCTGCTGCAGCCTCCACTTGCCAGCTGCAACATCCTTCAACAGCCCAATGGTCTTGAGCGTCCCCTCTTCATCCAGATGAGCCCTCCTCTGCTGTAACCTCGACCACTGCTCTTCAAGGCTTCCTTCTCTGGCATTCTCCACCTCGAGCGTGCGGTTCTGCACCACCAACGCTTCGAACATGCGGCTGTCCCACATGCCATCGCGTCTGGGGTTCTCCTGAAGCAGTCGTATCGCTGCCTCGCGCACATTGGCGTCTCGACAGCGCATGCTCGCCTGGAAGAGTGGGAACGTGACGGCGGCATCCATCGAGAAGATGTCGCCCTGCGTGACGGCGCCAAACATGTCTCGCTGCCGCGGCAGGATCTCGCTGGACAGACTGACAATCTCGCTGTAGATCGGCGTCATGGCCACAACGCTTGGGAAGTCACATCCCAGAGGCGACATGACGCTTGCATACAGATTCAGGTACTGCACCCGCAAGTGCGCGCCCTGCAGATACCGCGCTTTGTCCTGGTCCTTGACCGCCTGAACGGCTTCCCAGAGTGGTCTGAACGCCAGCCACCAGCGCTCGACAGAGTCGACATGATGCCGCGAGCGCGCATGCCTGTTGCCGAAGAGGTCGTCTTCCGTTGCCATGTGGCCGTACGTGGCCTCCTCCATGGCCATCTTGATCGACTCCGAGTTTCCGCTGAACAGCGAGCCCAGGCCGTTGTGGCTGACGCGGAAGACGACGTGGGACGTATGTGTGGCCGCGTGCTGCGTCACCTCCCACCACCGTCGCGCCTCGGAAAAGTCGTCGAACGAGTCGGGCATGTTCTCGATGACGTGGTGGTTCTTGGGCCCACCGCGACAGCACCACATGGTCTGCGGTTTCCTGGGTGCCGCCTGCGCCTCGATCTGTGCCATCAGAGGCGGCCGGATCACCCCGTACGACCATGTCTGGTGGATGAGTCGCTGGAATATCTGGAGAAAGTCACGTTCCAGCGCTTCCGACTCGACAATGTTCGACTTGATGCCCGACGAACGGGCCCGCATCGTCATCTCGTGCATCAGCAACTGTCCATTGTCAAGGTGAGCGTACGCCGCTCGGCAGTCCGTGTGCAGAACCTCGAAGCAGACGAAGAGCAGGCAGCACACGACCGTCGCCCTCAGCGAGCTCGGGTCCGCCGTGGCGCGCCGCACGTCGCTCAGCGCCCGACCGTAGTACGACAGGGCCTGTCCGTACGCGGGCCGTGGGCTGCCATTTCTTGGTGCGTTGTCGGCACGAACCCCTTGTGAAGGGACTTGCCGATGGCGCCGACACTCATGATGGCGTAGCGAACCGCAGGCCACTCATGGCTCAGCTGCAGCATCGTCCTCTTCCCAAGGTCATCCTCGAGAGGCCGCCTCCGATGAGCTTCCGAGTGTCGCACCACGTCATGAAGAACGCTTCTCGTGCTCCGTCTCTGAACAGAACTTCCGTGGGCTCCAGAAGTATACGGCTGTCAAGATGTGCAGGTGCCGGGGCTAGCCGTCTCAGTCGCTGTGCTGCCGGTGCTAGACTTCGAGCGGCGTCAGCTGCTGCCGCCGCACGGGCAAATAAATCGTAGCCGTCACAGAAGCCCTGCCACTTGACGCATCGTTGGCAGAAAGGTTTCGCTTCATCACACTTCACGCGTCGTTTCCTAACACACACGTGTTGAGCTGTTGGGGATCATGACAGGGCCGAGTCAGTTGCTGACGGCATGAGACTCACTTGCCTATTGGACCATCAGTCACTGTCGTGCCATGCGGGTTTGCGTTTGTGACGTCAAACGACGTCAAGACTCACATGTAAGGCACCCAGACCGAACCCTGGGGGCACTCGTTCTCGTAGGTCGGGGCCGGTGTTGTAAGGCACAGGTCAAGACTTGGTGCCCCTTTGTCAATGCGCAACTGGAAGCGCGTCAGTCGGGACCGCACAACATGTGCGCTCTCACACTCACCTCGCCGCCGCTGCCGTGGTGTTGCCCCTCGAGCAGTCCAGGGGCTTGAAGAAGCTGACGGGCTGGCGCGTAGCTGTTGAGGTATTGGGAGTAGGCATCGCTCAGACTCGTCGCCTTTGATCGGCAGGGGGGATTTTGCGTCACTTCGTGTGGATAAGCACCCGCCTTCAATGTCTGTTTGTTCCTTTCTTCTGCCTTTGAAGTGAACTTTGCGCGCTCTTCTTGGATTGTACAGTGGATTTCGAGAGCAAGTGGAAAGAAATTTCGGTTCAGGGTCATATCAGGGAGGTGCACTGATTGATGGTCGCCCCTGTTCGGCATCCGCAGCTCGTTTGGGAATCGCGCTTACGGCAACCCATGGCCTGCGATGTAACTCGACTGGGGGGGGGCCTCTTATCCCGCCAGCCTTACGTGCGGCCCTCGGTCCTGAGGTCCAGATCAATCAGCGAGCACATCAGTGCTGCCAGCTTGTTTGCTGACACCTGCGTCACAAATAGGTCCCGCTTGCCTGTATAAGACGATATGACGATGACCTCGGGGTGGGCTCTGTAGTGTTTGCCAAGCCGATTCTGCACCAACTCGCCTTTTCGCCGCCGCTGAAACGTAAGCTACGGACTTCGTACCCGTAGACGCTGTGCAAGAGCGATGCGCCATTCGCTGCCAGGCATTCTCCTGGGTTAATGAGACATGGCGATAATGAAGCGACGGAACATTACGAATGGCGATGGATAGCTATCTTATTGCGAGTAAAATTAGATCAGAAGTGGCTGCGTACAGTTGAGAGGCGTTACAAATACAGTGATGTACACGATCGGCGGCCGTTTGTCCCAGAACGCCGGGGACGGTAACGAAGAAAAGAGACGATGCAGAACTGCGCCCTACTCCTCGAGCCACGGGTCTTGCAAGAGCTCCTTCGCTGTCGGACGCGCCTCCGGATCCCAGGTCAGCGCGCGTCGAATGAACCGCAGAAACCTGGAGTTGTCCTTGAGTTTGGCCTCTGCTGCCTCGAGGGTTTTTTCTTTTGGTATAGGCACGAACTCGCCCCAGACGCCTTAGAGCATGAAAGGGTCAGAGTGTCTGCTGGCTGCATACTACACGGGGACTGGTGAGGCAATCTCCGTACCGTCTTGGTCCCAGTATGTGAGTGCTCTGCTGCGATGTCGGTCGAGGAGCGCTTGCGGCGGGGGACCCAACGCAGCCATGAGCTCGGCAAAGTGCGCGCCATCCGAAAGGCTGCCGTCTTGTTTGCGGGCTGTGAACAGTGTTCTTCCTTGGAGCAGGTTCCATGCCTAGGACAACGGCCTGAGGGTCAGCAGCTGTGGTGAGCATTCGGAAATGGGTCGGGGGCACAAACCGTCAGCCCGACGCTCCAGATATCGACAGGATAGCTCCATGGCATGTGCACGAGCGTCTCCGGGGCTCGGTACATGATGGGCATGATGTCGCCGGTATGAGGGCCAGGGCCGATTCTGGTTTCGCCAAAGTCAGAAAGCAGGAGTGGTCCGACCTTGGGCTTCATGAGGCGTGAGAGATATATGGTTCTGTCTTCGTACGGCTTGCGGGCGACGGGTCTTGCGCATTCGTCGTCCTCCAGCTTTTGGAACATGGAGTTGTCGTTGGCACCAAGCAAGAGGTTGCCGGGATGAACATCTGAGGGGACTCTTAGTTGCCATGCTCGGCGTCTTCGCACGGGGTATAAGAGGTGTCTGATACTCACCGGTGTGGACGGATTTCACCTCGGTATGCAGAAAGTCGAGAGCATCTAGAAGTTCCTTGATAGCTCCCTAAACGACCTTCGTCGAAGCCGTCATTATCCATGAACACTGTATCCATGTCGCGAATGCTCATTCGAGACACCTAGAGAACAAGGACCGGATGCTTGCCGTGTGGGCCTATCACATCAAAAGAATCTCGGAGCTTTCTGACCTTTTTGGCCCCGGGGTGCTTGGTAGGAGAGATCGTCTCCATGTGCTGGTAAAACGAGATCTTGTGGTTTTGGACGGAGTTGTGAATGCAAACTTTCAACGCCACGTATTGACCAAGTCCGTGCCAAAGACCAGTCAGATTTCAAGTAGCAACTTTCATAACGTACTCACAGAAGGTCACGCGCAAGTCAAATGGTAGATGGTGAGCCATAGCCAAGTTTAGTCACTGCCTAAAACCGGTCAACGAAGACTTCGCCCAAGCAAACGGGATAGAAATGGTCCGGGCAGTACTCGGGCATATCTTCCTCCTCGATAATCTGGTCCTGTCTGATGACATCGAAGCCTCGTACGGGAAAATGTCGCCGTGCTGACCATGGGCGTTCAGTTGACAGACTAGCCTGGGTAACAAAAGAGCACAACCTCGATCGTGTCTGCGCGGAAGCCAAACGGCGAACCAAAGAAATACAAAACATTTCGAGACCAAACGACCGGTTCTTGATGAGTTTAACATTTATAACCAAGCAAAAAGAAAATTAACTGCATTCTTACAACAACTTCCGTACACATGTCCTGACCAGCATTCGGAAGCCTGGGGTGTCGTGTTGGTTGGGTTGATATGCCCCAGGAGCTGTTGAGTATCAGGAGCTGTTGGAGCATGGAGTGGTCTGTGCTGCTCGGCAGTCTGAGCTTATCAAGGCTGAACTTGTTATCGGTGCCCCACCTTTTGCAACTTCCATCGCAGCTCCACTAAAATTTTCGAGTCCCTGGATTTCAGAGGTGCCTTCCCTCCTCTGACAATCGACAACATTCCCACTTTGGACCTCAATTCAACCAAAGGACCTGTTCATTCCCTCTATCCAGACGAAAGAATCGAATCGTATGAGACAAATCACTGAAAAAAACAAGAAAAGAGACCCCCATAACCCACTCGGCAACATGTCTGGCTTCACGATCCCTGGCTTGGGGTTCGCGAAACCCAATGAGACGCTCCCCCCCCTCTCTCCAGAG